CCCCCCCCCACCCCACCCCATTACCAGGAACATCTCCCACTTCCTCTCCGTGCCCTGTGGGAACTTTTCTTATGCCCTTACACTCCTTCTCTTGGACTTTTTGACTTAGAGAGGGGGTTCGATGACCTTAATATGCAGGTTTGGCTCTAGGTATGTAAGGTAGCTCGGGAAGTTTAGAGAAAATGCTTTCTCAACTAAATGTGCTTAGCTTCAGACTGTTTCCTCACTGTGGACTTACAGTCTCTGTCTGGGAGCTCAGGGCTGGGCCCTTGGCTGGCTCCTGTCCTTGTCAGGTGATTGTCAGTGTGGCCACGGAGGTTTTGCAGCCGCTCTGGTAAGAGGAGGGTCTGTGTTCCCACCCTGAGTCTGGGCCCGGCCTGCAAGCTAGTCTGCACCGGGACACGGTTGCAGATGCACTGACGTGTGAGTCCCCGGGCCCCTGGACACCCTGGGACTTCTGCCCGGTCCTGAGGACCCTTGTGGCACAGTGTCCACAAGCCCTGGCCAGCGTGCTGCCGCGCGAGGGGCCGCAGGGAGAGAGGGTCCAGCCATCTCGGCTGTCCAGAGCCATCCCAGCTCTGTCGTGCCCTTCCGAGCCAGCTCGGGTGGAGATAGCAGAGCCCGCCCAGAACAGGAAGCCCGGCTGAGCCCGATGTGAAACACCAACCACAGACTCATGAAGGACAATGTGCTGTTTAAAGCCCTTCAGCTGGAGGTGGATTGTTATGCAGCGAAAGCTAACTGATACACCTCCCAGGAAACAATAAATATGGGGGCCGTCATCCCGAGGTAGCCAGGAGCTCAGCATGACTGGGGGGGGGTAAACACCCACTGGTTTGGGATTTAGCGTTGAAGAAAGATCCCTGGGGGCGCCTGGGTGGCTTAGTGGGTTGAGCATCGGACTCTTGATTTTGGCTCAGGTCACAATCCCAAGGCGCCTGGGATCGGGCCCCGCGTCTCTCTCGTCCTCTGCCCCGCCCCCTGACTCACGCGCTTTCTTTAGCTAAAGAAAAAAAACAAGTAAATAAATAATTTTGAAAAACCCCTGTTACGCATCATTTTCTAAATCAGATAAATTTGGTCTGGGGAGCCTGGGTGGCTCAGTCGGTTAAGCGTCCGACTTCAGCTCAGGTCATGATCTCACGTGAGTTCGAGCCCCGCAGCGGGCTGTGGTGCCGACAGCTCGGAGCCTGGAGCCTGCTTCGGATTCTGTGTCTCCCTGTCTCTCTGCCCCTCCCCTGCTCACTCTCTCTCTCTCAAAAATAAATAAACATTAAATAAATAATAAATAAATAAATAAATAAATAAATAAATAAATTTGGTCTGAGCTCCCAGTCTGCAGATCTGATGAGAAAGGTCAGTTCAGTTCGTTTTGAGGAGGGCTCTGCTGAGGGTTGTACAAGGTCTCCACAGGTCGACCCAGGACGGCTGGGGTCCTCAGGGCAGTCACCACCGTCGCTGGGGCTTCCTGGCCTGGATGAGAAAGCAGAACACCAGAGCTAGAGAAACTCTCCCCTG